CATGAATGTCTTCTTCTGCGAAGTCTGTTCAGATCATACCCGTTTTTAAATCGCATTTTTCTTTGCTGTTGAGATGCCTGCATTCCTTGTATATTCTGAATATTAATTCCCTATTGGATGAATAGTTTGCAAATGTTTTCTCCCATTCTGTAGGTTTTATTTTCACTCTGTTATTTCCTTTACTGTATAGAAGCTTTTCAGTTTGAAACAACTATTTTTGACTTTCTTGTCTGTACTTTTGATGTCTTATTCCTAAAATCTTTTACCAGATCAAGGTTCTCAAGTGTTTCTCCCAGTATTTTATAGTTTTGAGTTTTACATTGAGGTCTTTGATTCATTTTGAGTTAATTTTTGTATAGGATGAGGTAGGGGTCTAGTTTCATTCTTTTGCATATGAATATCCAGTTTATTAGACCCCTATACAAATACCAGTTATTAAACAGGGTATTCTATCCCCAGTGTTCTTGGCACCTTTGTCAGAAATTTGTTGGCTGCAGATGTATGGATGAATTCTTGGGTTCTCAATTTGATTTCACTGTATATTTTAAAGTCTGGTAGTAATGCTAAAGCTTTCTTTTTTTTTTTTTTGAGCATTAGTTTCATTTTGTCCCCCTCTATAAGAATGCCATGGTGTCACAGCTCACAGCAACCTCAGTGTCTTGGGCTCAAGCAATCCTCTTGCCTCAGCCTCCCAAGTAGATGTGACTATAGGTGCCTGCAAGAAACCTGGTTAGTTTTTCTATGTTTAGATGACTTTGGTCTTGCCCTTGCTCAGGATGGTCTTGAACTCCTGAGCTCAAGCAGTCCACCTGCCTCAGCCTCCCAGAGTGCTAGGATTACAGGTGTGAGCCACCACACCTGGCCCAGCTCTGTTTTTGTTTAGGATTGCTTTGGCATTTGGGATCCTTTTTGGTTCCATACAAATTTTAAGACTTTTGTTTTCTACTTCTGTTTAGAATGTCATTGGTATTTTGATAGGGACTACATTTAATCTGTAGATTGCTTTAGTATGGTCATTCATAACAATATTAATTCTTTAATCCATAAGCATAAAATATCTTTCCATTTGTTTGTGTCCTCTTCAATTTCTTTCATTAGTGTTTTATGGTTTTCCTTACAGAGGTCTTTTACTTCCTTGGTTAAATTTATTCCTATATATTTTATTTATTGATTATAGCTATTATAAATGGGACTGTCTTCTTGATCTTCTAAAAAATTAATTTACTTTTTAGAGGCAGGGTTTTACTATGTTGCCCAGACTGGCCTTGAACTCTGGGAGTCAAACAATTCTCTAGCCTCAGCCTCTGCAGTAGCTGGAGATACAGGTATGCACCCTTCCTGATATCTTTTCCAGCTAGTTTCTTACTGGTATATAGAAACATCACTGATTTTTGTAAGTTGATTTTGTATCATGTAACTTTACTGAATTTATCAGTTATAAGAGCTTTCTGGCTAAGTCTTGAGGCTTTTCTATATATCAGATCATGTCACCTGCAAATAGGGACCATTTGACCTTTTCTTTTCCATTTGGATGCTCTTTATTTTGTCTTGCCCAATTGCTCTGGTGAGGACATTCAATACCATATTGAGTAAGAGTGGTAAGAGCAAGAACTTTTGTCTTGTTCTAGTTCTTAGAGGAAAAACCTTTCAGCTTGTCCCCATTCAGTATGATGTTAGCTGTGGCTTTGTCATAGATGGCCTTTACTGTGTTGAGGTACTTTCATTCTACACCTAATTTATTGGGAGTTTTTATCATGATGGGATGTTAAATTTTGTCAAGTGCTTTTTCTGCATCTTTTGAGATGATCTTATGTTTTCTTTTTTCTATTGATTTGTGTATGTAGAACCATCCTGGGATCCCTGGGATAAATCTCACTTAATTCTGGTGTATTGTTTTTAATGTATTGGATTTATCTGCTAGTATTTGTTGACAATTTTTGTGTCTATGACCGTCAGGGATACTGGCCTGTAGTTTTCTTTTTGTTGTATTTTGGTACCATCAGGTTCCCTCCACTTAGCTTTTTTATAATAATTTGAGTAGAATTGGGATCAATTCTTCTTTGTAAGTTCAGTAGGATTCAGCACTGAAACCATCCAGTCCTGGACTTTGCTTTGTTGGGAAACTTATTACTGATTCAATCTTGTTACTTTTTATTGCTCTGTTTAGGTTTTTAATCTTCTCATGATTTAGTAGGTCTCTAGTTAGTAGTTTAGTAGGTCCACTAGTTTAGTAGGTCTCTAGTTGGTTACCTATTTCTTCTAGGTGGTGCATACTTGTCCATAGTAGTCTCTTATGATCCTTTTTATTTCTGTAGTATCACTTGTAATGTCTCCTCTTTCATTTTTGAGTCTTCTTTTTTCTTAGTCTAGCTAAAGGTTTATCTTTTCAACAATCCAACTCTTTGTTTCATTTATCTTTTCTAGTCTCTATTTCACTTATTTCTGCTCTGATCTTTATTATTTCTTCTCTTCTAATAACTTTATGCTTAGTTTGTTGTTTTTTCCCTAGTTACTTGAAATGTAACTTAGGTTACTTGGGATTTTTCTTCTTTTTAGAAGTAGGGCTTTATTATTACTGCTATGAACTTTCCTCTTAGAATGCTTTTGTACATCCCATAAATTTTGGTAAGATGTGTTTCCATTTTCATTTGCCCCAAGATATTTGAAATTTTTCCTTTCAATTTCTTCATTGACCTATTGGTTGTTTAAAAGCATGCTGTTTAATTCCCATAGATTTGTCAGTTTCCAAAAATTCCTATTATTGCTTTCTAGTTTCATACCAGTGTGGTCAGTAAAGGTACTTTATATGATTTGAATCATATATGATTTGAATCTGAACTTTGTTAAGATTTGTCTTCTGACTTACATAGGATGTATCTCAGAGAATGTTCTATATGAGCTTAAAAAAAACATGTATTCTGATGCTACTGAAAGGAATGTCTCTGTATATTTGTTAGGTACATTCGGTCTCAAGTATTGTTCAAGTCCAATGTTTCTGTATTGATTTTCTGGATGACTGCTCATTGTCCATTGTTCAGACTGGGGTATTGACTTTCCTTACTGTTACTGCATTGCCATCTGTCTCTCGTCAGATTTACTAATATTTGCTGTATAGATTTAGGTGCTCTGATGTTGGGTGCATAAATATTTATAACTGTTATATCTTCTTGTTGTATTGATTCCTTTATCATCATTTATTAACTTTATCTGTTTGATAGTTTTTGATTTAAAGTCTATTTTATCTTTCTTTTGGTTTCCAATTGTATGGAATATCTTTTTCTATCCTTTCATTTTAAATCTACATATGTCTGTGAAAGTGAAATGAGTCTCTTGTAGGCAGTGTGTAGTTGGATCTCATTTTTTTTTTTTTTAGAGACAGAGTTTCACCTTACTGCCCTTGGTAGAGTGCTGTGGCATCACAGCTCACAGCAACCTCCAACTCCTGGGCTTAGGTGATTCTCTTGCCTTAGCCACCTGAGTAGCTGGGACTACAGGTGCCCGCCACAATGCCCAGCTACTTTTTTGCTGCAGTTTGAACCCACCCTCCTTGGTATATGGGGCTGACACCCTACTCATTGAGCCACAGGTGCCACCCTTTTTTTTCTTAACCAGTCAAAATTTAGCAGTGGGGGGCTGAATTCTACCTTTAGTGACTTTTTTATTCAGCCACTCCTTCCTCTGACTGGTACATCTAGTCCATTTACATTCAGGGTAACTAGTGATAGGTAAGTACTTACTGTTATCATTTAAAAAATTGTTTTCTGGTTGTTTTGGAGATCTTTTGTTCCTTTCCTCTTCTCATGCTATCTTCCTTTGTGATTAGATGATTTTCTCTTGTGGTATGCTTTGATAATTTTTTATCTTTTATGTATCTACTATAGGTTTTTGCTTTGTGGTTACCATGAGCCTTACATGAAACATGTTAATTATAATAGGCTATTTTAAGCTGGTAAGTTTACTTTGATCACATAAAATGACTACACTTTTACTCCACTCCTCCTGTTTACTGATATCACAATTTACATCTTTTTATAGTTTATATTCCTCTACCTTAGTTCTTTAGACTACGAAAGAAGGGTTATCACTGGGTTTTGCTTTGAGAATATCAAGTTCCTTTGGCCTTATTTTAGGCTCAGTGAGAAACCTTCAGATATAACTTGGACAGGTAGCATCACTGGCTCTAGAATCACAGTTTTGAGTTTAATTCCCAGTCCGTTCTGTCTTCAGTGTGTCACCTTGGTTTAAGTTACTTACCATCTTAGCTTAGTCTTCTCATCCATGAATGGGATTGAGATTATCTCATGCAGCTACAGTAACATCCAATTGGGATCACCTAACAGTCAACCATTTACTTCTGTGTGATCTCCTGATACCTTCTTCAGGAAGCAGTACCCTGTGTGGCCCAGGTCCCAGGAGGAATTTCATAATAAAAACCAAGGTAACACTTCTGTGGCATTTGCCATGTGCTTGCAAAGCACTAAATGGTTATATGTATTATTCTATTTCATCTTCATAACAGCTCTATGTATAAAGAAACTAAGGCTTAGAGAGGGTAAGTGATTTGCTCAGGGTTATAGCTAGTACTTGGCAGAAACAGGATGTCTTATATAAAAAGTTGAAATATTTATATCTAGTTTATACATCTATTTCCTGTGGGTCTGAGTAGTATCAGTTCATGACAGTCTCATCATTCCTGAGTGAACTGAAAAAATGGAGCATTTGAATATGTGAGGTAGAAACTATGGCCTCTGGGTGTGATGGCCTCCTAGGGTTGTTTGTTCCTGTTACACGAAGTCCAAGGACCCAAAACTATACAGTTTAGCCCTTGTCACAGGAGCTCTTGGGTGGATGGGCAGCTCTGAACAGAGGCTGTGGATAGGGCTGCTTATCTGAATCAAGAAGGGTTGCCACAATCAGGGTCCCTTACATTGAGCTAAACTGTGGCAAAAGCATTCTAAATGTCCTCTATTACTTGATAGACTGACATGGGGACAGCCAGCTACAGGCCTGTGCAATTTCGACACAGAGGATTTATTATTAGGAAGGGCAAGTCTTATACTCACATGGGTTTTAACATAAATACATCAAAATGGAGATGCCCCACCCCCACTGGCTCTCTGCCCTCTCCAACATGTCCAACAGTTATGGCATGCCCTTCACAAGTGGAAATTCCTTTGTGTTATCCACACAATCAGTTATGCCATGCCCTACACGAGTGGAAATTCCTTTGTGTTATTCATCAATTGGAGAAGGTGGAATATGACAGACTCTGGAATGCCATATGTGTAAGCTCGACCTACCTTTTGGGCCTCAGAGGAAATAGGAAAAAGTCCCAATGGGCAAAATGTATTTCCTAAAAGGCTGGATGGAAGTATGTGCCATTCCTTTGATTAACGAGCAAAACTAAATCAACCAGTCTGGTGAAATGACACGGTGACAGCACTGTGGAAGAGACAGGGGTGGGGGTGGGGGTTGTGGTCTACGCTGAGAATGATGGGCAAGGAGCCCCTGGGCCTGGAAGTGTAGGAGGCGAGGGTCCATCTAGTCAGAGACGGGGGCTGATCTCCAGTCACCTTGGGATTGTTGTCTCTGGGTCTCCAGGGATAAGCCCCATGGAGGCTTCAGTCCTCAGTCACAGGTGGGGGAATGAGCTGCAGCTGGAAGTTCTCGTTCTGGAAGATGCTATTGAATGCAGGGCTACTCTGGGAGCCACTGAACAGCCTGTAGCTCTCACTGCTGCGATTCTGGGAGAGTTCTGTGAGAAGAGCCAACTGCAAAGAGAGGGGGAACACATATCAGCCAAGGCACAAGGGGAGCAGAAAGTCTGTGTTTGTGGGTATGGGAGGGTGTGGAGAACAGAGGCGGAGAGGGTCCTGAATTCTCCTTTCTTGGATACACAGGGGACAGCACTGTGGGAAGAGTAGAAAAAATGGGTTTGGTTCTTGGATCTGTATCTCACAAACCAATAGTGTGACTTTAGGAAAATTCACTTCATTTTTAGAGCCTAAATCTCCTCATTCAATATGATGAGACTGGACTGGTTCACTCCCATGGACTGTGCTCCCCTTGCTACTGTAGAGCAGCTCCATCCTGGACCTGCCCCATGTGGAAGTCCTCCTACCCAGCTACTGTGTGCAACTCTCCTGTGCACATACCCTGAGCTGAGGTTCTCCATTCTCAGCTTCTCTCACTCCACACTCTCTCTTGTATGGGTTTTCCTTTGGGTGAATGATCGTGAATTATGACCAATCCAATTTGGCAAACTGGATAGCTCCAAGAGGATGCCCAGATACCAGTGCAGACTTGGGGCCCCAGGTGGAATCATGCACTACATTCTCCTCTGAATGAATCCTCCCTGTGCTCAGCTTCCCTACTCCCACTAATGACACCAACAGTCCCTTCATTCTGTTAGTGGCTCAATTCTGGAAGACCTGCCAAGGAAGAGAGAATAGTAGAAGGAAATATTGATGCCAACCCATTGGGAAAATAGGCTCTGCC